TTGCGCCTCCAGCCCTGGCCCCCGCAGGCTGAGTGAGTACCGAGCCTCTCCCTCCTCACACGCTCCAGGCAGGCGGCCAGACCACAAATGGGGAAGGCAGCTAAGTGGAAGCGAAAGGCCTCAGCGGCCTCAGCGCCCTCCGCAGCCAGGGGCCGTGTGAAGTCAGCTATGGCCATGGTCAAGAGCAACCCCTTTGAGGTGAAGGTCAACAGGCAGAAGTTTAACATCCTGGGGAGGAAGACCAAGAATGATGTGGGGCTGCCTGGTGTCTCACGGTCCAAGGCCATCAAGAAGGTAAGAGGACACCAAAAGTTGTGAGGAAGGGTGGCATCTGTAGAGGTAGTTGTGGTGGAGGGGTGGCAAGCATGGAGCCATCTCAGGTGAGGTAAGAGACTGCCTCCATCATGCAGGGGAGGAATGGCTGGTCACCTCAGATTACTCAGATGATGATGAAGAGCTTGCTGGAGATAGTTCCCCCAATGCAATCCACAGGGTTCAGTAGTGAAAGTCTCCCTTCTCACATGTGTAGGAATATTCTCTTTTCAAATTACCCTGGTCCAGAATACAAAGGCACATTTTGTCAGCAAGCAAATACTGGACCAAAGCGCAGGTGGTTGTACATGTTCATTATGTTGGTCAGTTTTGGTTGCTGCAGGATGTCAAGCGAGTAAGATAATGGTGCAACATTGCTGTGTTGGTAAAAGCTTGAAAGGGCACTAAGGTCTGAATACAGGGAGAAATGTTTAGATACTCCTGAAAGGAGGTTGTAGTGAGGTGGCTGTTGGTCTCTTCTCCCATATAACAAGTGATAGAACAAGAGGGAACGGCCTTAAGTTGCACCAGGGGAGGTTTAGGTTGGATATTAGGAAAAAATTCTTCACTGAAAAGGTTGTCAAATATTGGAGCAGGCTGCCCAGGGTAGTGGTGGAGTCACTATTCCTGGAGGCATTTAAAGGACGTGTAAATGTGGTACTTGGGGACATGCTTTAGTGGTGAACTTGGCAGTGCTACATTTGCAGTTGGACTAGATGATTGTAATGGTCTTTTCCAACCAAACTATTCTATTAAACTACCATTGATTTGGGAAAAATGCAGGTGGTTTTTTGTGCACAGGTTAAACAGTTGCTTGTAGAAGTATGTTGGGATGCAAAATACTGATGTGTCCTTATTGCTCTCATAAGAATGACCATACAACTTAAGAAGAGTGAATCTTTTATCTTCCAGCCTTATGCCATTTTAAAATTCCCTCTTTTTCTTTCTCTACTGACATCACTAGTTACCTGGCCAAAATCTGAAATGCGTAAGGGAGAATGTTGTGTCATACTACACATCTAGGATTCCAATAACCTAAGTTATCTGTGAGTGAAGCACTGGAATTTTTTATAATCTGTCCCTTCAAACAAACCAGGAAAGAAGTCAAAACCTCTGCAGATTCTGTTAAAGCTGAAACAAGCGTAATTTGAAAGTTTGCCCCTGAGATTCTCTCTGACATGTTACATGCAATCTATTGTTGAACAGAATTTCAAGCAATTACTGAAAAGAGAAGTTATTTTTTAAAATAGTAAAGGAAAAGGAAACGGATGGTTTATCATTTGCATGCATTGTGAGAGGTGATGCATTCAATATTTTTTATCAATGAGAGAGGACATCAAATAATTGATAAACAAAAGTGCTTTTCTGTTTCCAAGGTATTAAGAGATATTAAAGTTCATGCACGGTGTTTAAGCTGCATGATAACTTATACATTCTGTGCAAGAAGTAAATACAAGGTGGAGCTGGCGCAGTAGAAGGTGAAACCTGTGCTCTGGTGTGAGTTACAGCCGCATCTGAAAACTGTGAGTGCTCAGTGAGGCTGCAGAGGAAACTCAGCCTTTTCCTTCAGTGCAGCAGTTTGGGAGTTCATGGCAAGATGAATAGCAACAGTACCTTTTTGTAAGATTTAGTTAATGTGTTTTAAATAAACATGGATTTATTTTTTTCAGTCTTAAGCACAGCCAGCATTTTCTTCCTTTAGAAACTATATAATATCTTCAGCATGAGATTCTAAATTACCTTTCAGCCTTCATCACTATTTTGCCAGATTTTAGAAAACTTTATGAATGTTTAATACCACATTTTAAGGTGTTTGGGTTTTATGTAATAGTAAGGTGAATCAAATGCTTATAATGAGTTAGATCACTGGCATTGAAAAGTAAACCTGCGTCCTTACCTGCACCATAAATCCTGCACCTACTACCTCATGCAGGTCTGCTGAACTTTCCTTCACTGCTTTGTGCTCTGCTAAAGCAGAAAGCTAAATGTATGTACCCACTTGGGTTTTTTTGTGTCTCAGATGACAAGACCAAGAGAGATTGAGCTGACACTGGGGCTTTTTTGCTTTCTTTAATACGTTGTTGTTATATACTAAGCTTCAGACAATCAGAATTCTTCAGGCAATGCAGAGTTTTTATATGTGATAAAATAAGGTGAGATGCAGTGTACCATATCTTATCTTTACATGGGCAGCTTGTCGGAGAACTTAATGACTGAATATTTTGTATGAGCTTCCCATCCCTTTTCTCTTTAAATTTTCCTTCTCTTTCATTGCATTCTGATAAATTAGATTATGTTGCCAGGGTACCATGGAGGCTGTTTTGCCTTGGCTTTGAAAGTGGTTATTCTCTTTGTTTTCTAACTTGATCTCCTTTTTTATTTCCTTCTAGCGAACTCAAACATTACTGAAAGAATATAAAGAAAGGGGAAAGACAAATGTGTTTAAAGATAAACGTTTTGGTGAATACAACACCAAAATAAGTCCAGAGGAGAAGATGATCAGACGATTCACTTTGGAAAGACAGGTAATGTATAGGAATTAAAAAAAAACAACACAAAAATACCCCCAAAACAAACACAAAAAAGCCAAAACCACAAGAAACACTTGACTTTTTAGGTTGGGAACATCCACTTTAACAGAGGGTTTCGCAGAGTAATGCTTTCTTTCTGATTTTGTATGTTTGAAAATTTTATGAAAGAGCAATTTTTTGTGGGAATCCAAAAAATTTTTGTGAAAACTTTGTGGTTTTACAAGACATCTTTTTGAATCAGAAATTTATTTAAGCTCTTTTGAGCACTGATATGCAAGAAAGTCAGTTTTAAGCAGATTCATTGGTTGATTGTTTTTCTTTGACTGCTTTGACTACTAGGATTTGGGAATTGAATTGGGAAAAGGCAACCTTCATCAAGTACACTTTGAGATTCCAGTACAGCTGTTGGAAATGAAACCTCGTTTCATTTACTGACTAGAACTCTGTAACTTGCTGTCATTCTGTAATGTTAATTGTGTGGGCAGTACTCTTCTTTCTGCCTCATCATGCTCAGTCTCCAGAACTGAGTAGTGTAATATCATATTCTACTGATAATTCGTATAGTTTATAGTCTGTTTCATTAGGCCTGAAATGTAGTAATTAAGAATTACTGTTGCTGACACATAGATAAAACTTAAGGTTCCTTAGGTTTTATAAGTTACTCCATTTATGCATTAGTATAAGAATAAGAGAGACAACCCCAGGCTCCAGTATAGGTTGGGAAATGATCTATGAGAGAGCAGTGTAGGGGAAAGGGATCTGGGAGTCCTGGTGGACAGCAGGATGACCATGAGCCAGCACTGTGCCCTTGTGGCCAGGAAGGCCAATGGCATCCTGGGGTGCATTAGAAGGGGTGTGGTTAGTAGGTCAAGAGAGGTTCTCCTCCCCCTCTACTCTGCCCTGGTGAGGCCGCATCTGGAATATTGTGTCCAGTTCTGGGCCCCACAGTTCAAGAAGGACAGGGAACTGCTGGAGAGAGTCCAGCACAGAGCCACCAAGATGATTAAGGGAGTGGGGCATCTCCCTGCTGAGGAAAGGCTGAGGGAGCTGGGGCTCTTTAGTTTGGAGAAGAGGAGGTTGAGTGGTGACCTCATTAATGTTTATAAATATGTTAAGGGTGAATGTCAGGAGGATGGAGCCAGGCTCTTCTCAGTGACGCCCAATGGTAGGACAAAGGGCAATGGGTGTGAGCTGGAACACAGGAGGTTCCGCTTAAATTTCAGAAGAAACTTCTTTACAGTGAGGGTGACAGAGCCCTGGAACAGGCTGCCCAGGGAGGTTGTGGAGTCTCCTTCTCTGGAGATATTCAAGACCCGTCTGGACGCCTTCCTGTGTAATTTCGTTTAGGTTCCTGGTCCAGCAGGGGGACTGCACTAGATGATCTTTTGAGGTCCCTTCCAATCCCTAATATTCTATGATTCTGTGATCATACTCCCTTACTTAAGATTTCATGTATTTTAATGAAAGTATTGGTCTGGTAATGCTCCTATTCCAGTACTCTGTTCCAGCAGAACACAGAATCTCCTCAGCTAGCATTAAAAATACAGGCTTTATTATTTTGTTGCCTGGGAACTAAAAATCTTTTGTTATTTAATTGGTTTGTTTTACTATTCTTAGCAAAATTATGGAAAGAAGAATATCTACAATCTTAATGAAGATGAAGAATTGACTCATTATGGCCAATCTCTGGCAGAAATTGAAAAACTAAATGATATTGTTGATAGTGACAGTGACACAGAAGAAAGAGGAACACTGTCAGGTAAGACATGTCAGCTAGTATCCCACTGCTGGTTCTGTTGTTGGTACGTGTACATCATTTGTTCAGTACTGCCTTCTGCCTCTAGCATCTATCTTGTTTAGTATGGCCCTTCCCATAGGAATGGGAATAGTACATGATTGATCCAATAGTTTTAATTGCTCTCATTCTCAAAGACTAGGGAGTTACTGTCCCAGCAGCAGCAGCAGCACTCCAGCACTATAGCATGACTTTGAAATGACTCACAATCTACTATTTTTTTTTCTTCTAGCTGAGTTAACTGCTGCTCACTTTGGAGGAGGTGGAGGCCTCCTTCGTAAAAAACCATCAGGTGGTCAGCAAGATGAAGAGGAGGAAAAACCTAAATCTAGGAAGGAACTGATAGAAGAGATGATAGCCAAATCTAAACAAGAGAAGGTGAGTTTTGAGCCATGAAATGTAAGTGAGCACGAGTTAGAAGCTGTCACAATTTCTGTCTCTGCAGAATAAAATAATAGTGGCATAGAAAACAAAGGAAATAGCTGTGTGGAAGAGGAGTCCAAGTTCCTTGAATAAAATCCATCTGACTTTGTAGTAATTTTAGAATATGCATTGAATATCTGCCATTCCTGTGTATCCCCAAATTTCCCCTTCTGTTGACTCCTAACTTGTTTTCTGTACGCAGCCCCTGTGCCATTCAGCCTAACTCTATACTGCTTCTTCCATAAAGAATGCTAACACCTTTAAAAGGTTAAATATTTAAAATTATTCATTTGCTAAATGGACCATTTTGGTTTTGTGCTGTAAATGCTATGTCACGTTCATCTGAACATAACGGCTGCATTTGGTTTTGATTTGGTTTTTTTCTAGCAAGAGAGGCAAACTCGGAGAGAAAGTGCATTAGAACTCACAGAGAAGCTTGACAATGACTGGAAGGAAATCCAAACCCTTATTGCCCGCAAAACCCCAAAGTCAGAGAGAAAGGACAAAGAAGTAGAAAAACCCAAGGTAAGGTTTTGGCTAGATTACTTTCTTTTGTTCTAATAACTTGTGGTTTTGACTCGTAGTGGCTGAAGCATAAGGCAAAGTTCATTGCTTTGTAAAATACAATATTGCCTGCTATTTACGTTAAAGGAATGGTGCTGTTCTAGACAGTTTGGTTAGTTGGAGGAATACAGGGTTTTATATAATTTATCTGATTTTAATTACCTATCAAATCTCAGAGGAGTTGCAGGTTAAACAACACTGTTGACTACAGCTTATTTTTACAACAAATACATTTTATTGAAGAATTAAAATTGTTGGGAACATTGACTTGGTTGAATGCCTTTGCAATGTTCCCTTTGATAAAACAACTTTTATTTGGATATTGATATTCTGATATTGATAATTGGGTACTGTCTCTACAAAAAGGGAATTAAAATATTTAACTTTTGAATAGATATCTTATGGTCTCAAACCTTTTTCTATCATCTTATTTTATACTAAGGGAAATAAACTTCTAAATCTAAGAACAGATGTCGTAATTCGTTGTGCTATTTTTTCTTGTATAAATTTTGTATTATATTGCAGAACATTTATTCCTTAGCAGTAGAATTCAGATTTTTAAAGATCAAACTAATGAACTGATTTTATGTTAAAACTGATCTCAAATAACAAACATAAGATACTGTATCAGACGTTCATATTTTGAGGTAATGATTTTTGTTTTTAAGATGTTTCATAACATGCTGAATACTCTAATATGTTGGTAATGTGATATGTTAGACAAAAATTTTGTCATCATAAGGAAGATTAGGTACCCTTGCTTCATGTGTGTGGGTCCAATTTAAGAAGTATCAAGGATGCAAAGTGTGAATTAGTGATGTTCTATGACATTAACATTGAATTGGAGAAAGCTGTCTAGTTGTGTTTAAGAAGAAAAATTCATAGAACTGAGTTTTAGAGCAGCTGTATGGTTTAGTGACTTAGGCAGGTATCAAGGAGATTGTATTTGCAAGTCCAGTGTAATCTCTGCCAGTGACTGTTTTCCCAAGCGTGCTGCTTAAACTCACTGTCTATCATCATCCCTCTTTGTTTTCTTGAAGATAAACATCTGTGTAACTAACATAACAAAGTCTTAGCTCATGTCTGACAGTATAAAGTGAAATGTAAACTATAGTTTTATTAATTCTAGCTGCTTATTGAGAAAATAGTATTTCATTAGTAAACAATATTTTAAAGTTTTTCTATTTATGAGTAAACCATTTTTTATTTAAGATACTATTTTATTATTTTTTATTATTTTATTTAGGATACTGTTTTACTGCTACTAAGTTTTCAGTTGTGAGTGACTTAAACAGGGGAGGGGAAATTCCAGGAGAATTTCTACTCAAGTGTTCATTCCATTCCTTGTCTTAATACTGAGTTGAATGTTCTTGTAGCTTTCTTTGGAAACGGTCTTTTCCTTATATCTTAAGTCTTATTTCTTAGCTATTAGTCTGGCAGAGGGGTGGCTGCAAAGTAGAATAATAACACTTAAGATAATAAACAATTACATAAATATTTCTTTAGCCTGATGAATATGATATGATTGTTCGAGAACTTGGATTCGAGATGAAAGCAAAACCTTCAGAAAGGATGAAGACAGAAGAAGAATTGGCAAAAGAGGAACAGGCGCGACTCCAGAAGCTGGAGGTATACCATTTATGGTTTTAGATTGTTTTGTGGCCTGTCTTTTGGGAGTGACCACTTATATTCATTGCTTGACCTTAGATTGAAAGTGGCTGTACTAAACTGCAATTCATCAGGGTGAATTCAGGAAATCTTCTGTTTGTGCTTTATTTGCAATCTGATATTACAACAAAAAAACATAGGCTTAGTACGTGACCAGTGAGGTTTATGAGATGAGTTGATCTTTCTTGAGTAAAAGTGTACTATCCCTTCGATTTGCCTTTAAATGCTTTAAATTATTCAGAGTTGAGAGGTGCTTCTGAGTCAGTAAGGGGGAGTATCATGTTGCACAACAGTTCAATTAATACACTGGCAAGTCATTTATTGTTTTCTTCTGGTGTTGCAAGAGTTCCAGCAGTAGCATGTATATAGCTTTGCTTTGCAGAGGAACAGGATTCTTTTGGGAAATGTTGCATACTCTTTCTCTTACACAGAGCTCTGAGTCTTACAGAAAGAATGAATAATTTGGTAAATGCTTCTCTGCTTTTTCTTTTTGTATAGTAGGGATACATTTAGGACTGGAGGGATTCAGTACCTTCAGGCTACCTCAGAACAGCTCAACAGCAAATAGCAAAACAGAAGGATTTTTATTTTTTTTTTTTCCTGTTCTTGTCATCTTCTTTGATGTCATCTGGTTGCCCAGGTGGAAATCCTTTTGTCAGTGATTGGTTCAGATATTGCCCATTGAGTCTCTTTACAAATTTAGTATATCTTAAAAGTCGTAGGATATGACTGTGTTTACTACAAACTTGTTACACCTGTGAGAAAGACAGGTAAATACTTCAGAATCATAAAACACTTTAGAAGCTTACATTTACTAGTAATGATGCATTGTCTCATAAGCAAAACAGGTAAGTTTTAAAATGAGAGAACATAATGCTTCTGGTAAACCCAGTTTTAAAGCCTTCCAAATAAGCTAGTGTAATTGTGTATGTGCTCTTATCAGATTGCACTCCCCACAAAAAATAAGGTATCATCAGCTTTTGCCCATGATTTCTCAGTTACTGTTTTTTCTTTTCAACTTGTTGAGTAATCCCAGATTTTTTTCCTTGGTTTCATAGCTGTAGTATTTGAGGTATCTTCCATTAGGGTGTAGTTGCCTGATTGATCTAAACATCTCACATTTCTGTGTGGTATTTCTTCCAAAACACAGGCAGATCGACTTCGTCGAATGCGTGGAATAGATGAAGAGGCGAATAAAAAGAAGCCCAGCCATGTGTCAGCTGATGATCTAGCTGACAGCTTTATCCTGGATAAAGATGACAGATGTTTATTGTCTTACAAGGTAAGGTTTAAAATTTCAGAATTTTCAGAGTTCTGCAAAGAAGATGGAAAAATCAGTTTGGAAATGACCTCTGTGGAGACCTCTAGTCCAACCTCCTGCTCAAAGCAGGCTTGACTATGAAATTGCTTGTTTGCTCAGGGCTTTATCCAGTCTGTTCTTGGAAATTCTCTAATAATGGAAGCTACACATCTCTCTGGGCAGCCTGTTCCACTGACTGTCCTTACCATGAAAAAATTTGTCTTTATATCCAGTCTCATCTCTTGTTTCAGCTTAGGCCTGTTGCTTCTCCTTGTCCTGCTGTGGACTGTGGTGAAGGGTGTTGCTCTGCCTTCTCAGTGATCTCCCTTGTGGGTACTGGAAGGTGGTTATTTGGTCCAGGCTGAACAAGCCCAGATCAGCCTCCCCTCATAAGGCAGGTGCCCCAGCTTCTCAACAGTCTTGGTGGCTTTCTGCTGAACTTGCTGCATTTTATAGATGTCTTTGTTGTATTTGAAGGCCTAAAACTGGATGCTGTATTCTATGTAGTCTTACAAGTGTCGAGTAGAGGGGAACAGTTGTTTCCCTCATCTACTGATTATACTCCTGCCATTGTAGCAGCCTTCTATGCTGTTAGCCTGCTGGATTGAAGAGAGAGCTTTAGCCCTTCTGGTAATTTCTTTAACATTTCTGCTGTATTTGATACAGCTTCTACCAGATTTCATCCTGAGGATGAGTGGGTTTCTGAAAGAGCTCTTCCCGTGTGAGGTAGCTTTGATTAAGGTGGCAGAGCAATATAATCTTAAAGCTGATGTAGTGAGTCACCCTGACTGGTGCACATGTTTGCATACTGATCCTCTCATCCTCTTACATGTAAGTAGCAAGGAAATTGCTGTTGTCCTTGAAGAGGAGAATACAAATTGTGAATGTGAATTTAAACAGATTATTAATAAAATTGAGATGGGAACAAATTTGTCTGACATGCTGTTTTAATACACAGAAGGAATAGATTTTTTTTTTTAACCAAGAATGCTTCTGAAAGTGATGTTGAAATTTTTTCATATCAACTGTTAGCAGTTTTTACTTTTGTGTTGATTCTTTTAGTCCTCATATAATACCTCCTGTTCTTCCAGTTTCTTACAGCCCCTTGTAAATACCCCACTATTCTTATATCTGTTTGCATGTTCCCTCCTTAAAATCCCTCTTGGCTGGCACTACTGCTATTCACTGCTCGGTCAGAGTAGCAAGGCTCAGATCCTGTTGATGTGTATTTAATGATAACTTTGCATGGTGATTCTGGCAAGGTGCTGTTGCTTTATCAGTCTTTTAACTGGCTTATATTCTCTACTAAAAGGATGGAAAAATTAATTTTGAAAATGAAGAGGAGGAGGAGGAAAAAGACAAGGAGGAAGAGGAAGAAGAGGAAGATGGGAAAGAAGATAATGAGAATGAAGAAGAAAGTGAGGAAGAATCTGCTAATGAAGATGAGGAAGATGATGCTGCAGATAGCCACTCTGATCTTGAATCTGACCTTGAGAGTGAAGAAGAAGCTGCAGGGAATAAAGAACAGGAGAAACACAAGACAAATGAAAATGAATCACAGAATGTGGAGGAACTAGATCCAAAAATAGAAGCTGCCAAATCAGAGCTTCCCTATACATTTGGTGGTAAGCACTGATCCAGAGATCCCTTTTGTCTTCAAGGGATTTATAACCAGGCTTTTTCTCTGCCTTGTAGAATCTTACCTATTCCTGTTCATCCTTGACATTTTGCTTCATAGTTGTCCTCTGCTATTCCAAGAGTAGCCAGTAACTGCTGTTCATAGTGATCAGCCCTAATGGTGCTATGAGCAGTGGGAGCCAGATCTGTTTTATGCCAGAGCTGATTCTCTTCCTCCAAGCAGCCTTAAAGTTGACAGATAAATGTTGGGTAGAAAAATGAAAAGATCTGTGCTCCTTTCTGAAGGCCACCAACACATCTAATCCAGAGTGCTATTGTTTTGCATAAGGGAAGCCAGAATAGTATTCTATTATCTATGCTTAAATGAGGAAAGGTTACTTTCTCTGGTGTTTGGACTGGTATTTTTGTTAGAGAAGATGCTTGGAGGGGCAGGATTCTGAGGTTTAATCTCTGTGATTTAACATCACAGTGTTGTTAAATAGAGACACTCAGTTTGACTCCTTTTGGGTCTGTGCCTAGGAGGAAGGAGGAGGCATGTCTCAAGTAGTACACAAAACATTTGTTAATATTAAGTACATAATGCATCTAACTATTGTGCTAGTATAGATTTCTGTAACAAAATATCTGTTGCACGATTAAACAACCTTTCAAACAACTTCCTTAAATGCTTGCATTTTTCCATCAAAAGGAGATAACTTATATTACACAAAGTATTTTAAATTGCATTCAGGTTTTGCTTTAACCAGAAAGCAATCACATTAAAATAACTCAAAAAACTTAAGCAGTTAGAGTGTTTTCTATCATGTGAACTAAAGACTAAATATCTGCCAGGTTGAGGTGTTTGGGTTTTTTTAATTATTATTTTCTGTTAGTGGCAAGATTCTTACTTTTC